AAGTTTGCACCTCCATCTATGCTATCCAGAATAACCGCAGTCTAGGGGCCCACTCCATCACTCAGGTCTCCCCCCAAAAGTAGCCCTTCTCATCCCTGCCTTGTCTCTGCTCTGCTGGCCCTGATGAGCCTCATTGTGTCTGCTCACACACTTCCCTGCATACTGGTATCCCTTTCTAAATTTGGTGTGATGGCTCTCAACCCTGATGGCCCAATTAAATTACTGCTTTCTCTTTGAGGTTCCCATTAATTCTCCCCCAGGAGACTTGGGCATCCTTTATCTGTATTTTCAAAGTTCTTTGTGCCCATACAAGGCCTGATACACATCAGCTATTCAATCAGGTAATGGAATAAACCAATTACTGAAAAACAAAACTTCAAAAGCTATAGTCCTCCTAAGTCCTAGGCAAAATCCAGAAGGGCAATCCACAGAAAAAGCTCACAACTGACATCCATAAGAGTCTCTGGCACTGAGCTCTACACACAGGAAACACCAGTTGTTATAAACCACAAAGACCCAACATTGTGAAGTTAAAAAGCCAGCTAATAGGTTTCTAGACCCTCTGGTTGGTTCCTGAGGGTCCTGAAGGAAAAGAGGGGAAGGCAGAACAGAAGGCTGGCTAACAACTGTTTCTTTCCCGCACCCCGCACCCCTGTCTTTCTTCAAAGACACGTTTTACTTCATTCGCAAAAAAGTTTTCTGCCTGGTATTTTTTAGAGCAGTGTGATTCAACACACCCCTGCTCTGCTTCTAAGTGTCATATAAGCTGCACAGTTTTCCCATCTGCCCCCAGAGTCTGGCCCCATCTCCTGCCTCTGCTTCGGTCTGGCTCTTTGCACCTGCTTCCAGATGCTGCTTCTGAAATGTGTTCCCTCACTGAAATCCCTGTTCAACTAGGATTACAGCCAATTTCTGGGTAAAATCTATTTCCAGCCTCTCCAGATAACAATCCACGTGGTTCCAGCTCACTTACTAGGCTCTAATATTGGGGCCTCTCGGAGGGAAATCAAAGAGGACCCAAGGAATTGATGCTGGAGAGTTACACTTGTCAGTCACCCCCAAACTGCACTGTGTCTGCTTCTCCTTAAGAGAAGGCCTGAACCTCATTAATAAAACTAAAGCTACTATTTAGAACAGATGCTGGGCTCAGTATAAATCTACATCTGAAATAGTCAAGAGACCTATTAGGACTGCACATTTTTAGAACTAGAAGGATGCTTGGATAGCCCCAAAAGTGAAAGCAAAAAGATACAGTCAATTAGTACTTAGAAATTCTAGAGATATGCACTGCAAATCTATATTCCTGCACTGTTCTAGAAGCTGTGGATTCAGTGCAGACAGGTTTTCTTTTCTAGGGGGCCCATAGTCAAGTAGATAAACTAAGTAAACTATACACAATCAGTTAGCAATGAAAACAAAATATCACAAGACAAAAAAAGGATGCCCCTTTATACAAAAAGGTCCAGGAAGGCCTCATTCAGGGAACAGCTGAGCCATTTGAAGCTAACAGAGATCAATTCATGTGGGTTCTGGGAGTAGTGTTCCATGTAAAGGGAACACCAGCCGCAGACCCTGCCGTAGGAAGGTGCCTGATGAGAGGGCAGCGAGGGTGTCAGGATGGCAGCCGGAGAAGAAGGCATGGGGAACATGTGAGAAGTGAGGGCAGAGAGATGAGGAGGCCAGGTCACCTGGTTTGGGGACACTCTAAGAACGTTAGGGGACTAAGAGATGGCTTGTCTGTTAATAACACTTACTGTTCTTTCGTAGGACCTGAGTTTGGATCCCAGCACTCACACAAGACAGCTCACAGCCACCTGTAATTCCAGTCCTGAGGATCTGACACCCACTTCTGGCCTCCATAGAACTCACACACACACACACAGACACACACAGACACACACAGACACACACAGACACAGACACACTTTGTAAAATAAATATTTTTAAAAGAACTTTGGATTTCAGCCAAGAACTGAAGCTAATGAATTCTTAATGATGGATAGATGAACAATAAACCAACAAACAGAATTCAACTTTCACAAAAATCAAGACATAATAAAAAAGCAAAACTTCATTGATTGCCGAATCTGGGGGCGGGTGGTTCTCAACAACTCAGAATCACTATAACCTTGCTTGGAATTAAAACATCTGTGATTTATCAGAAGTTCCCATGATTACCTAGTCTAAGCTCTCAGTCTTGCTAATGTGGTAACTGGGCCTGAGAGTGACTTCCTTCCTGGCAGACCTAGTGTACACTGCGTTTTCCTGGCTTCTGATTCTGCGGTACTCAGGAGCTCCTGCTGCTCTGGACATGCCTCGGGGCTGCTCACCAGGCTCTGGGTACTGTGTGGTGGCTCCCTTGGTCTCTGTAACCTCTACCAAGTTAACAAGGAAGAAGAGCTGCACCACAGGTATCTCCAGGCCCAACCATTCCCAGAGTCATTCAAGACAACAAGCAGGTAAGGTGGAAGCACCTGTCCTAATAGACAAGTAACGGGCGATACACAGTGTGCTGGGTAAAGTCAAGTGTGTCGGGCACCATTACAGATGTATTTGCCCACTACCCTTTGTCTCCATTCCTGAACACAGCACTACCCTCCCAAGGTTCTGGTGGGGCTGTAATCATAATATCCAAGTCACCTACTGCCCACAGACTGGAACGGTCATGTGGCTTAGCCAACTAAAGAACCTTATTCCTGGGAGCGCAATAAAGGTTTTGGGGTCCAAGTAGGAACAGAACCATCCCCGGGGTTTTTTGGATGGGAGCTACAGAAAGACACACCAAGACATTAGTTATGTGAGCCAACACACATATCCTGTCCTCAGTTGTAATGGACAACTGTAATAGAGTCCAGGAAAGCCTGAATAAAGGGAAGTCAGGTATTTATTGGGAATCACTCACAAATGACAAAGCAAGGCAGAGAGCCACCAAGGTCTTCTGTCCTTGGATGTTGCCATCCACCTTCTGACCACCACCCAAGGGACAGTAAGAGCTTTCTCGTAGTCCACATGTGGTATCTGCCCCAAAGAAGCCGTTACCTCAAAGACTATTGGCTAAAAGAATCCCTGCAGCACTGGGTGGTTCATAAGTTACTATTACTTGTTAACAAATAATTCAGACTCTCACAGGCACTTGTACACCATGTCATTTCATCCGTCAAGTGACCTTCTAAAGTGGCTGTAATTCTTAGACAGAAAAGAAAAAAAAGGTAACTGAGGTGAAGTAACTTCTCGACCTCACACAGCCAGAAGAAATTCAAATCCAAGCTCTTCTGCTCTAAGTCCCATGCACTACGAACTCTCAATAAGAAAAAAAAAAATCTCTGACATTTTGTTTAAAATTATTAGCTGGGGTGGGGAGTGATGACTGAGTGATTAAGAATGCTTACAGCTCTTGCAGACAATCCAAGTTTAGGTCCCAGTATCCAAGTAAGTTGGCTTACAACCTCCTGTAACTATCTCCAGGGGGTCTGATGTCCTCTTCTGGCCTCCCATGGGCACCCACATACATGGCACACAGTCACACATGCACATAGATAAAAATAAATCTTTAAGACACAAAACCAGAGGGAGAAAATCACTAAACTAGCAAAGCGGGGTTGGCTTCCACCCGCAGCTCTAGCACCCTGCCTCAGTTGCAAAGACTTGGGGCCAGTCATTGCACTTGAATGAGTGTCGTCTTCCCATCTATAAAGATGATCAGTCTCAACAAGATGAATTCCAGGCCCCTTAGACGTCTGTTCTGAAAAGTCCAAGGTTCTGTTTAGGTATGCAATCAGTTTTTAAGCAGCTGCTGGGTAGGATATCAAGCAGATTTCAACTTAACATCACACCCAGCAGTTGGTAATGGCTCTTAGGACACAGCGCTGAGGGGTTCTGAGCTACAGGATCTACTGGGAAATGCGTGCTGGCTTCTGTGGTCAGAGGCAGCAGGTGAGAATACATGCATAGGTTTGCCATTGCTGACACTTCCCCTTTAACTCAGAAGTGCTGCTGTCTTTCTACTCCCGAGACTGCCTGGCCTTTGAAGAACTGTCATCCCTGAGGCTCTTAATTGAAAACGCATTTTCAGCACTTGGGGAGCGGTCCAACTGATAGCAGAACTCTCTCCCCACAGGGCTGCTGGCTGAACTGTGCTTCTTGACTCTCCTGTTCCCAAATCCCCTGTTCCTGAGTACTGAAAATCTGTGCAGTGTTAATAATAAACCACCAATCTCAGGAAGGGCCTTCACACACCAAAACTGTGATGTCCACACCCTGTTTGAGAGCAACCTCCATCACAGTTTAGCCAGACTCAGGGTAGAGGAGTGAGGGCACCTTATTTTTCCTTCCTCTCGCTTCCACCTGAGACATGCCCCCTTCAGTGGGACACAGGGGATAATGGGAAATGTGACATCTGACATATATGATGACGTCAACGAACTTCGCTGTTCTTTTGTTCGTTCGTTTGTCTGTTTCTGAGACAGGGTCTCTGTGTAGCCCCAGCTGTCCTGGAACTCACTCCGTAGACCAGGCTGGCCTCGAACTCACAGAGATCCACATGGCTCTGCCTCTCAAGGGCTGGGATTAAAGGCGTGCGCCATCACTGCCCCATGCCGATGGAGTCTTTTAACGTCTGTTTCAGCTGAGAGTGGATGTTAATCCCTAGGCGGAAGAGGAGGCGCAAACATGTACATAAAAGGGGCAAAGGTAGAGTGGTGGAGGTTGCGACAGGAAGCGAAGGACTGTGGGAACTTTTCCCTGGCACTCAAGTCAACAGTGACAGCGAACTCACTGCCTCAACTTAGCCGGCAGCCTCCTGACTACACGGATAACCAAGCAGCTCTAGGTCTTGCTTCCTACAGGACTCGGAATGGCGCCCCTCTTTCCTTAAAGCAAACCTGTCGCCGCCCCTTCGCCAGCGAGAGGCTAAAGATTCCCTCTCCTCACTCGGGGTCCAGGGTCCCGGGTGCGGATCCGCCCCCATCTCCCGCTCGGCGTTTCCATAGCAACCAGCTTACCACTTCCCGGGCCCGGCTGGAGAAGTCTCCCTTGGGCCGAGGGCTTCGGCGGAACAGCTCGTCCCGGCTGCCATCGGCCCCGCCACCCACCGCCACTCCCAGGGCCTTGTTCCGAGTCTTCACCGTCTTGACGCTTGCCCGGAAGAGGAGTGTGATGTCCACCGCCATAGCGACCCACACCGCGGCCAGAAGCCGGTCGGTACACGTCAGCAGCAGGCGACCCCGGCAACAGCCCGGTCGCTGAGGGACGTTCCGTTTTCGCACGCCTCCGCCCAGGAACTGTGAGCAGAGAAGAAAGGTTCCGCTCTCCACCCGAGTACCACGGAGAGTGGAGAAAGGTTCCGGCCTCAGCTCCGAGTGCTCCGCGACAGTTTCTCCTCCCCGCAAACCGGCGAGCTCAAACGCTCGGAAATTTCCCGGTGCTTTTAGAACTGGGGATCAAGGAACGATAGTACCATGAAGACAGAAAAAGTGCTCCATTACGATTCTTTAGAAGGCAGGCGGTTTGGCTGACAGGTGCGAGGAGTCCCACCTTTGACCTTTGGTGTGAAGGGTTCCCCCTTTGACCTTCTGGGTGCGGGAGCTAGGGCAGGGTAAGTGTACAAGAAATAGTTAGAGGCCAGAGGCCTTTCTTCTCCAATCTTTAGCCACTTCGGTAAAAAGGAACTAGCGCTTTCCTTGGAGTGCACAGAGAATTAAACAGAAGGCGCATATAAAACGTTTTCACGTTGTTTGATTCTTAGTTCGTGGCCATTAGACGTTGCTGTGCCTTAGAGCAGAGATGAGGAACACTTGTAGGAATGTATCAGAGTCAGACAAAAGTGAAACAGACTGACCCCGATCCTGAGTTATGTTCATCCTCAATATGTAGTTTTGAAAAGTGCTCTCTTGAATCCTTATAACGAGGAAGGAGGAAGAGAGTCACTTTAGTTGAATAAAGTCAGCCAGGAATATTTTTCTGAAAGCTTGACCCATGGTTCATTTTGATTTTTATACACTTTTAATTAAAATACAATTATACCATGTTCCCTCCTACCTTTCCTTTCCTCCTTCCAGTCCCCTCAAGTCCTCTCCCTCCAACTCCTTCCTCATTCTCCTATTCACTCTCAAATCGATAACCTCTTCTTCCTGGATTATTATCGTTACATGTATGTATAAGTATCCATGGATACATAAGCCCAACCTGCTGAGTCTGTTTTGTTGTTGTTGTTGTTTGTGTGTCTATGGTTTCCTGGATAATCACTTTGTATTGATTGTACCAATTAGTGGGTCTATCCCTGGGATAGGCTAACTCTCCCTCTCTCATCAGTCATAGTTGCCTGGAGTCCAATAGTTTCTTGTCCAGGGGTGTGACCCCATGGTTCAGTTTTAATTCAATATGGACTTTTCTGTTTCTTGTTTTCCTTAGAAAGGAAGCACAACTATGATGTGTTTTAAAACGGGGCTTTTACAGTCAGCAAGATGAAAAGCTAGTCTCATACTAACCCTAGGATCGTATTTGCCTTTGCACTTGCATGTTCTAATCAGTTGTATGGTTGAGTTTTCCAGAGAAACTGATCTTACAATAGGCTAAATGCAAAGCAGCTGTCTTCTATTAAGCCAGACTTAAAAGAGAATTGCAAAAAATGCAAGTGCCAATTCTTCTTACCAAGCCCTTTATTGTGTTGAAAACTATTTCCTCTATGAATATGTTTATGCTGATATGTAATAGATGTACCCTGATTATTTTAGGTGAATACATATTTCTAAGTTGTCCGTTTTATTTCTAATATAGTTACTATCAATAGATAAATATTGATGTAAACAAAAATTGTTTAAGGCCCTGCATAATTTTGTAGGACTATAAAAATTTTCTGAGATCAAATGTTTGAGAACCATAGTATTAAAGACACATTTAGAAGAAATATATGACAAGGGAATATTCAGGTAACATAAAAGAAGTAAACGATTATTTAAGTATACTCACTTCATCAGTCCTGGAAAAAAAAAATGTCCATACAACTTGAGGAGGAGGAAGTCATGACAGAGAGAGAGAGAGAGAGAGAGAGAGAGAGAGAGAGAGAGAGAGAGAGAGAGAACAAAATCTGTGCCAGTGATTCTGCCTTGCATCTTGCTTAAATGGTGCTTTGTTTTATGGAGACATTAATGAGTCTTTGGCTATGCAAAGGTAAGCCTGGGGCAGAGTAAATGGAGAGAGAATTAAATTGCCTTGCATAACAAAGTGGAGGAGTTAAATTAGGAGAAAGAAGAGAAAGCCAGGATCTTGGAGGGGTCCAGGAAATTAGAAAGTAGATAAGTGGGAAGGGGTTTTATGTAGGAGGGACACTGAGCTCCATAAAATATTTTAGCATGTGGGTAGTGCCTTGTGTATGCCATATGGCTCTGTGCAGCTGGGTGTGGTTAGAGAGGTGGGGATGAGCCTCCAAGTTCTCTGTATGGATCTACAAAAGCAGAGACTGCTGTAGTGGAGATGCTATGCAAGTGAACTCCAAACAGGCTGTACAGCCTTAAGTGGTGGTGAGTACATAAAACCCTCCACGCATTCCACAGAAAAGGCCACTTGTCCTGGCCTTCTGACTTATTTCATTCTACTTTGGATTTCTCCCACCCTGTAATGAATTAAATGATGGGTGCTCAAGAACTATGTCCATTTCTAGGTTTTTCTTGAACCCTGTATTTGGTGAACAGGATATCTAGTGGCCATTAGAATCCAAAATTTACTTGCAAACAGCTCAGTAAATATAGCTAGGTTACAGTTACAGGTCTTGAGCAGAATATTCTGAATGACACCACAGGGCCTCAAGTCAGTAACAGTGTCTATATACAAGAAGCTGACAAAGGAATGTGAAGACAAAGGCAGATAACAGACAGATGTAGCCCCATGCCTAGAAATGCTGACAGTCACCAGTAGTGGAAGAAGCAAGGGACCATTCTTCCTTGAGAGCCTCAGAAGTATGTGTGGGTCTGCAAACACTTTGATCTCCCTCCAGGACTGGAGGAAATAAATGTCTGTTGTTTTAAATCACCCAGAAAACAAATGCATGTCTTAATTCCCTTTCCTTCCACCCTGCCTTCATTTTCTTGTCTCTTCTGTGCCTGCCTCATTTAGTTTGAGGTTCTTTTGGTCCTCTGTCTCTGTTAGGGCATTCCCTGCAGGCAAGTCATCTCCAGCTGCCTTCAGTCTGTGTCTTCCTTGACTTTAAATCCACAGCTACCTGCCTTTGTGTCCTCTTTGAGCTACACACAGTCCTCTGTTCTCAGAGAATTGCAGCTGACCAGGACCCCCATCTATCCTCAAAGGAAAACTAGAAAGGGGGTGAGCCTAATCTAGTAAGAAGGGATGCCAACAAGGATACCTTTCATTGAATATGCAGTGAATAGAGCATCCAGTGACCAACAGCACATGGCCCATGCATCGCTCACAACATGTGTCTCAGCTCATGCTGCCAGTTTTCCTTTAACAAACTTCTGGAATGTAAGAGGATTTGTTTACAAGTTGTATAGCAGCCTATAGTGTCTGAAGTGGGGCTTGTGAATCTGGAAAGATGTTCTACTTTGAAAAAAGGATGCTCTCCACACATTCACAACCACTCCAGAGGTCAGTGAATGACAAGCTTCCCCCAGAATTGGAGGTAAGCCAGTCCCGGAGCAGTAGCACTGATCAAGCAGACACTCTACAGCAAGGGTCTCCTCACAGGGATAAAATAGGCTCCAGGCGTTGTGAATATTTGTATGATGTGAAGATGCATTGCAGTGATTGGTGTAATAAAAAGCTGAAAAGCCAATAGCAAAACATGAGAGATAACAGGCGGGACTTCTGGGCAGAGAGAGAATGCTGGGAAGAAGAAAGGCGAGTCAAGAGCGGGACACAAAGGAAGCAGGGCAAGTAAGGGTAACCCAGCCACGAAAAATAACATAGGTTAATAGATATAGAACTAGTTAGGAACAGGCCTATGCTAAGGCTGAGCTTTCATAACTAATAATAAGTCTGTGGGTCATTTTTTTGTGAGCTGGTGGTCCAAAGATTGTCCCATGAGAAATCTTGCTACATCCACGCTCTTGAACATACTCAATTTGTCATCTCAGGGCCATGTGGGTGGGTTTTGAGATAGAGTTACAAAAAACAAACGTGGTGGGGTGTTCCCTGTGTTCTGAATTCTGCCAGTCATACCTCAGGCAATCGCCATAGGGATACTGACTTATCCTGAAACTAAGCCTGTCCTCTATTATTTTTCACGTAGGAAGACAAGCAATGTGTGTAGTGGCACAATCCAACTAACTGGTTCTTGGCATGGTGTTCTTACTATCAGCATTGATCTTAGGAAACTCCCTTCCCTCCCAGGGGATCTCTGTTGTCTCCTGCTACAAATAAATTGTCAGGAGTGCAGGCCCAGCAAGGATAAGATGTTGTGGCGCACATGCGCGCTCGCAAACACACACACACACACACACACACACACACACACACACACAAAAAAAAAAAAAAACAAAACAAAACAAAAAAACTTGGCACTGCTTGGAATTTAGCCTGGAAGATGTTTATGTGTCAGAAGTGGCCTCGGGGGTTGCAACTCACAAGTTTTTTTTCTGTGCCCCTCAAGGGTTGGTCCTTGTTGGTCCTTGGGCTCCATAAATGTTAATACTGAGAGTCACAACTTGAAAGAGAGTGACTACCTGGTGTCAGAGGGCTTCTGAGCACCCAGTGTCTGATGGGGTCCACTTCCGCACACATTGTTTGTCTTCCTATGTGAAAATAATTGAACAGACTTATTGAGATAATGTTCAGAATAGGTCAGTATCCCTATGGTGATTGCCTGAGGTATGACTGGCAGAATTCAGTACACAGGGAACATCCCACCACGTTTGCTCTTTGTAACTCCACCTCAAGACCCACCCACACGGCCCTGGGATGGCAAATTCAGTATGATCAAGAGCCTGGGTGTAGCACAGGTTCTTGTCAGACTGTCTTTGGACTGTCAGCCTGCACGTGTGGGCTCTGGTGGACAGAAGGCTTCAGAGGAGCCCGAGGGAAACACGGTTGTAGCTAGCATCCTCTGTTGAGGCCATGGTCCCCAGACACTGAGGCTTGGCTGGCCAGCAGCCATAGGATCACATGCTTGCTTTTCTTCTCTCTGGACAACAGGATTTTACCTATTAAACTCCTTGAGCCGGGGCATTGAAACAACCTTAGAAGTCCAGGAAACGGCTGCCAGAGGATGACTTATTGGAAGGAGAAACTGACACAAAGCACCAGAGACAGAATGACTTGGGTTCGAATCCCAACTAAATCACTAGCTGTTTGACT